ATACATATATATATATATATTTATATTTATATAATTTCTAACAAAAATTTAAAGTGATATTAAAATAATACAAAAACATAGAAAGGGCAACTATCCAATCAATATTTTTTAAGAAATAGAATTAAATTTATATTATATATATAATAAATTTTTTAATTGAGAAAAAATAAGAGATAAGAAAATTAATACGGATAATTTTTGTATTTTCCTTAATAGCTTTCTGAGACTTATCGTACAGATACAAATATGCGTAAGATGTAATCGCAAGTAATTACAGGGAAGTTGTGAAAATGATTCGCGCTCTCTCGACAGCTGCTACGCTAATTTAAATTCTCATAAACTTTAATCGCGGAAAACATGAGTTGTAGAACGTAATAGCGGAAAGATGTAAGCGATTCGCGATCTGCGCTATTTTCGCGGTGGCGGTGTGAAACCGTCGTGAAATTATTTTATTGAGATTCGACGATTATCGAAACATTTCGTTGCTCGGACACGCGATATTGCGTGACGTTCTTTTATTATTTCTCGCTTCCCTGCACCTTCCGCATGATGGATTCAATATCCTCCGTCGTGAGGAATCCTCTCCATTATGTCTGGATGCGGAACTTTCGTTCGGCATTCGAATTGGAATTGCACCACGATTTTTATATCGATCGAAGTTTAATAAACGCTCTAATCCTGAATATCACGGAGGACAATATCCCTTCAATATTCCTCAAATCGAAATCCTTCCGATTGTGTCCTATTACCTCATATCGCGGAGATATACAATTTAACCTACAACATTTGACCTATGTTTTTTTATTACATTTTTATTTAATATAATATTACTTCATAATTACCGTAAAGTAATTTCCTAAATAATTTTTCTTATAAAAGAAGGAAAAAAATGGAAAGGAGAGGTAGAGAAAAATTAATTAATAATAAGTGATTCTTTAATTGTACATAATAGGAAATTAAAAAATGTATATCAACGCGTTCATTTTGTTACAAATTCTCAAAATTATTCAAACGTTATTTGTTATTTTAACTTGCGGATGCTTCGTATTACACTTCATATTTAATAATTGGAATAATAGATTATAAAAAAGTTCCATGAGCTTTGATGGGCTTTGACTCGACTGTCAATCGACAGATTTTCGTTTAAATTTTGATCGTCAACAAAGTACAGTATAGGTCTTTTCAATTATGCGTTCCGAATCGAATGGTACGGTGTGCGATACCGTGGAATCCTTTTCAGTCGAGAGCTAATGGATTGTCAAGAATAGAAACGTGGTTTTGCGATCGTTGGCTCGATGTGGCCGATCAAATGTTTTCAATTCTATTTTTCGCGAACCACGTTTCACCCTTTCTGTCGATGCTGAAACAGTTTCGGAGATAGACGTCGCTGAAAACAACGTGCCATTTTCACATGATAACTTTTTAATTCGCAACATATATTACACGAAATATACATACATCGCTACAACTAACGATATATCATAATTATTCCATGTTAGCAAAAAAAAAACAATACATCTACATGTGTAAAAAATCAATAACCATTACAAAACTATAACAAAACATAATTTGACGCGATGAATTCTATTATAAATATTTTAAATAAACTGTTTAATAGGAATGTTTGTATGTAAGGAATGATGGAGCACATTGTGACAGATTTCTTCTTTTCGCTCCTTATTAGTGTAAGACTATTTCACTTTTTATGAGATAAAAAAATTCCCCTTTTAACAAAGAACAATTAGTAATTTTTCTAAATTTTAATCTTTGTAAGCAATTGAGGAATAGCTAACTACTAGTGCCCATTTGCCCCATTTGTCACATATTGCCCCACATATGGGACAGATCTGGGTATGTGTATGTGACTGGTCCAAGATTGAGTGTTACAAGGCCAAAAGGAAACCATTTTAATACGTTTTTATTATTGTATCTTTATAACTTACAGGTACAATGTAAAACCAAAAATAAAATTTTTAAGTTGTTTTAATATTAAAAATAATATTTTCACTATAAGATATATAAACACAGCATAAGGAGGTACATAAAAAATGTATAAAAAATTAATATTATAATGAGCTTATATTAATCACTTAGGTGATAAACTTTCTGGCTCAATCTTAGTAAAATATATTAAAATAATAAACATTTTAGATCAATCGGAAGTTCTGTCCGTTTTTTTGCAAAAAGTATATATTTATTTAAGAAACAAAATAAAAAAGTACATTAATCAAAATATTGTCCATCGTTAGCGATGACTGTTTCCCATCTTCAAGCGAATCCCACGGCGAAAGAATGACTCATCTTTGGAGGCTATCCAGTCAGAGACCCATTTTTTGACGTTTTCATAAAAATTGAAACGTTCCTCAGCAAGTGCCATCGACCGAAACAAGTAGTAATCGGAAGGAGAACAGTCTAGTGAATAAGCCGCATGAGGTAGCACTTTCCAGCGAAGTGCTTCTAACGTTTTGTTGTCAAGTTTTGTGACGTGAGGCCAAGCGTCATGAAGCAAAATCACTTTATGCTGTCTCGTTTCATATTCTGGTCATTTTCCATGCAATGCTTGGCTCAAATAGATAATTTGTTCTCGATAGAGATTCCCTTTTACTGTTTGATCAGATAGATTTCAATAGCTCGTGATACACTACACCCTTCTGATTCCACCATATACAAAGCATTGCCTTCTTTCCGTGGATATTCCGCGTCGATGTTGAGAATTGACCGGGGTCGCAAATGGTTTTTCGACGATTGGGATTGTCAAAATAAATCTATTTTTCATCCCCAGTAACGATACGATGCAAAAACTCCTTTCTTTGTTGCCTAGCAAGCAGAATTTCGCCGATGATTTTTCGCCTTTCAATATCTCTTGGCTTCAGTTCATGAGACCCATTTTCCTTCCTTGTAAACCTTTCCCAAAGCTTTCAAACGATCGGAAATAATAAAGTGAGTTCAATTTAATGTTTCTGCAAGTTGCTTTTGCGTTTGACATGAGTCTTCATCCATCAATGCCTGCAATTCTTCGTCTTCGAATGCTCTTGGCTGTCCAGAACGCTCTTTATCCTACACATCAAAATCACCACTTTTAGAGCGTTGAAACCATTCTCTGCATGTTTTGTCGGAAGGAGCACTATCACCATAAACTTCTACAAACATTCGATGAGCTTCAGCTGCAGTTTTCTTCCATATGAAGCAAAAGATTAATACTTCGCGCAAATGACGCTTATTTAGCTCAAATTTCGATATTTTCGATGCATTAAGAAGCAATGTTATTAATGCGAACGTATACTTTTATATACAGAATTTTATTGACAAATGGTAAAACTAAAAACTTAAGCTTGGTTTAGATATTATAGTTATCGACAGTTTTAACTACAGCTACTTGCCGCTAATCGGACAGAACTTTCCAATTGACAAATGTTAAACATATATAATAAAACATTAAAATATTAAAATAAAACTTCAAAATAAGATGTTCTTTTTACTCGTAAAAATAGTTATAAAATCAAATTTTTATGGAACTTTCATAACTTAAACATATTAAAAGTTTCTTCGGCTATATTAACTTAAAATTAAGAGAATAATTGTAGTGAAATTGTTGTCTTTTTGTTTTACAAAAACCCCACTCACAGTGAGTTTTTGTAAAATCATATATATGTCTTTTTTCCTCTATGTCGAACCATGCTTAACTAATAATAAATAAAAAAACAAGATAAAGACATGATAAAGACAAGATAAATAAAAATAAGTATGTCATAATGTATCCCAAAAATTACTGTCATATATTGCCCCAGGGTAGCTTTGTCACTTAACTTCACATGAACAGTGATACGAAGCTTGCATTAATATGATCATAGTCTTAAATAAAATACTAAACATAATCTTACAATAGGCTATATATACTTGTACCATCAAAAGAAATGCCTTACCTTGAGAAACAAAATTATAAACTGAAAAACAAATTTTCAGTCTGATTAGATTTCTTTATATTCCTCCCGTCATTATGATTTTTTTTATAGGCTTTTAAAACTTTATCGAAGTTATTTTTTCCGACTCTTTTCTTTTGTGTAGAAATGTTTAGCTGCGCTCACTGCGTTTTGAAATAAAGCAACTATTACATAGTGCCCCCTGTCATAATGTACCCTACCTTCCCCTACCACGTAGCAAAATTATATGCATAAATTATATACCAAAAACTAAACAATCTCTTGATGTCCTAATTTTGATTTTGAATATTACCTTACACTATAAATACAAATATAGACAAATTACTGCCTGCTTTGATCATTAATCTTACAGCCGGTATCGAATACCAACCGAGTTCATTGTCTCGATTTCCATCGAATTCGTTCGCGCACTAAAAGCGATCTTTATTCGGAGGCGCTCGAGCGATCACAAAGGGTGCTACAAAGTAATTTACTTTCTCGATAGAAAAATAAAGAGGAAACGCGAGAGAGGTATGCAACGAGCGAATTGTGTTGAATCGTGGAGCTGTTTAAAATCTATTTGTGAATTATACGATATCGAATTGTTCGATACGAATTATCCGCTTTTCCAGCTTATAGATCTGTAATTGTAAAATAATAAAATATTTTCTTGTATAATAGTGACGATATTCAACTCGAATTGATAGTTGTCTCACTTATAAATTTAATTGAATGCACACTTAGTGCACAGTGGTGCATATTAAAACCATCGTATACAAATAGACATAAAAATATAAGTTTAATGTAAATATAAATAGTTACCATATCTCTTGAAAAAACGGATTAAATCATAAAATCCTTAATATTTTTTACTGCGCTATTGAGTAAAATCAATATTTTATAATTCGAAATATTTACAATAATAAACAATTTATTAAGACTATGTGAATATTTATATTTTAGACAACAAATAAAAAATGAAGACCCTAAGTAATCAAGATTTTTAGTGCTTAAATAATTCAGTGCAAATTTATATATCATATCTACTGTAGCAGTTATTTTTGATGATTTGTTGTGTATTCACATTATATGGTCTTAAAAGATATTACATTTAATATTATTTATATTTTACTACACTATATTACACAAATTAAATCAGTGTATGGCTTTAACCTTCTGAGAACCGCATGTTTTTAATCGACTTTTTTATTTTAAGGGCTAAAACTTTTATATCAATGTCATGGGGTTGAGTGGCAAAAAAGATGGCGCTATTGTCGAGTCCTTAAAGAGACCTCCGGTCTTCTACAGGTTAATATGCACTAGTGTACACTAGTACATTCAATCAAAAAGACACTATTAGAATAGTTTTTTAATTCTATTATAAAACATTATTCGATTATTATAACATTTGTTTTTTATAATTATTTTATTGCACATTATAAAATTGCATGAATAATGTATTAGAAACAGAAAATTTCGGAATTGGAATAATAAAAAAATAATTATTGCTACAAAGATTAAGATAATATTTCGGTACTCCGTTTTCAAACTCAATGTTATTAGATTCAATGTTGACAGTTTTAATATCGAATAGAGATCCTTAGTGCATTCCAGTTTTGTCTAGACGGATTCTAGGCTAATGACAACATCGTGAGGTTGGCTCTCCTCGGCTCGCTAATCCGAAATAATATACCGTTGACCCAGTTAGCGGCGCAACAGCAATTAGACATTCGCGCTGTGGTAGACGAGGCGGGACCAGGGCGTTGATCGATCCTTCCTCGGACGTACTCACGTAAATTCCCGTCGTTAATACCCGCGTATCGGCCACGACGACTGCGTCGACATGGACATGAGTTACGGTCTTGAAGTTGCTTACCTGACAGGAAAGGAATTGCTTGCTCGAATCAAACAACAGCGGCAAGAATTTCGAAGAATGGCGAAGATAATCCGATCATACAATGTTTCAAATAAAAAGTTCGATTTGCAACAATGATAAATAATTTAATATTCAAATAATCGCGTTAGTAAGAATTCACTATTATTTGCAAATTAATTTGCAAACAAATAAGTACACGACAGACAACCTTATTTGCAAATTATTTGTCTATCATGTTTGAAACTAAATAAAGTTTATATAAATTTTCAAATAATTTCATTAAAAGTAAATCAAAAAGTTTAGACAAACAATATTTGGGTTAAACAACTGCTATATTAGTTACATAGGGTTGACATCTCGGCACCAGTTGTCTCCTCTATAAATAGAAAAAAGTTTGCAGAAAGTACGGAAGTTTTTAAAATATTGTTTCATTGGTGGTTCTATTATCTCGCTTAGCTCGCGCGCCACTTTGTTGCATAATAATATTAGATAAATACGCAAACTCTTATGCTCTTTTTTATCTTAGGACATATTAAAGTATTGAAGATATACAGAGATATGAAGAGTGAAAAGTAGTTCAAATTTCTTTCTTTAGTTCTTTTCATTACAAATTTATAGTCACAGAGATGTTCCCACAGGCAGCATTCATAATAATTACAGAATAATTACACTCAAATTTTATTTTGTTATAACATAGAAGTACATAAAGTTACATATTAAACAAACTATTTATTTAAATTAATAACATTATAATTTAATTATTGCAAATTATGCATTCAAATTCATAAAATATAAAAAAATCTAATTAATATAAAAAATCTAATAAATTATTTATTATTTATTTCTTGTAAATTAAACTTTATTCCAGATTGAAGATGCAAGTTTTATTTTTTATTATAACACTTCTTTGGTGATAAAACGTTAAAAATTGTGTCAAAAACAAGTGCCGCCGGATTTTCTGTAATTGTCGCAATTCTGTCATGTAACATTCTCGTTTTTGTAATAAAGAAAAGAGAACAATCCGCTTCATCCGAGTTTAAAATTGGTCAGTTAACTCGCTTAATCATCGCATTCGCGAAATCGTCGCGTAATAACGTGGGTGGCCATTCTATTCGTTTGGACTCCGTTAAATTCCGGTCGACGCGCAAAATGTGAAGTACCTCATTTTCGAAGCGTGCGATCAATTCATGATCCATGACGGCGCGCGATTTGCGGCTGCGAATTAGCGCTTTAATACGCGTCGAAAATCAACGCCAGCACTACGCCAAATGTCGGCTTACGTTAATCGGTTCGATTCCACATGAACACTTTAACATCGTTACGCATCGCGGTTCACGATCACAAGATTGTTCACTGTCGTACATCCGACTCGTATCGCCATAGTTAAGGTTGCAATTACATCGCATTCGCATTATCAGCAAGCTTCATTGTAATATTCATCGCGGAATGGATAAATCTTTCATAATCGTAAACATTTTTATAGTTTTAAAAAAGAATAAAAGAAGAAATCGAAAGAATTTTTAAAGATTAAATTTTAGGCGCAAATGTACACTTTACATTGAGCGATATTATTTTTATATTCAAAGCAACGAAATTTTTTGCACGGCACTTGGGAAGAGAGAAGCGGGAAGAGAAGAGGGTTGAACTCGTTACTTGTACCCATAAATCCGTTTGCGAACCAAGTTGTTCTCAGTGCAGAGTATACCGGGAATTGCACGTAATGAAGTATAGTCTGGCAAGGTATAACGTAGAGACTTAACTTAGAGTTTCGCTTGTGTATTAGTGTACATGGCATATCAAGATTTATGCATTCTCTCACGCCTATATATTTTGGGACAGTTATGTGGATTTTTTTTTCTTAAAAGTTAAAGAAACTTGACGAGAAGCTATCTTTTCTCATAACTTCTTAATTAAATTTCAAGTGGAAATTTTTCTAACTAATAGATTCACTTGAAATTAATTGTAGAGAAATTTAATCCGAAAATTATTTAGCGAGCTGTGAAAAATACAAATTAAAAATTTTATTAAGAATGTCGATTAACTTCCAAGAGTAAAAATCAATGATAGAATTGTGTATTTTATAATTAAATTGCACTGTAATTTATTCTAACAATAAATAATAAAAATTGCATTTAAGGGATTTTCAAGCGATTTTAGGCGAATGTCAAGAAAAATAGTAGCTGATCTACATCTTTTCACTCTCTTATTGTTAGATACGTGGTTTGCGCGGCCGAAAGAGGGTACAAAGGGACCGGGCGGGTCGTTCACAGTGGAGAAATCGGGGAATCATGATGTCCCCCATAATCGGGGAAACGTTGCGCATATGGTTTCTTTCGGCGCTAGTCGTTCACGGAGCCGTTGCCGGGAATCCGGACGCGAAACGCCTCTACGACGATCTACTGTCCAACTACAACAAACTCGTGCGCCCCGTGGTGAACACCTCGGACGTGCTGCGCGTATGCATCAAGCTTAAGCTCTCGCAACTCATCGATGTGGTAAGTAAACTTTTTTGAAACGTTGTTAAAAACTAAAAAATAATCCTACAATAAAAATCGAGTAAAATCATATTGGTGACAATTGTGATAATTGTTAAACTAAAATCTATAATAGCTATCATGAGCAAGTTTAGACAATTTTGACGTTATTGATACATATAATCAAAAAGTCTGCTATTACAATAGCCGATAATCACTAGCTACATTTATGATCGTAGAAAATATTGATATAATTGACAAGTATTTGTTATAAATCAATATATATTTGTGTGATAAAATAAGCTGCGTTATATTACATAAGAAGAATAGCACCATTAAAGATTTTCAGAATTAAAAAGAAGATACACGCAAACTGTAGAACAAAATCTGTTACAAATATATTTTATAACTTATCTTTAATTTTTTTTTAACAGAATCACATTTTATTTATTTAATCCTTGCCAATCGGCCACTTCTCTCGTGGTTTGATCGTAAAAGAATGAATATACAGATGCGATTGTCTTTCCTTCTACGCTACGAAGTAATAGTAATTATCTACATCCAAAGTATAAAGTGTCTTTAAACTTTACTGATTGCATACTCTCTAAGACAATAGTTAACTTGTGCAAGTATTAAAGTGCGTGTTATAGCTATTATAAAATCAATAGCTTATAAAGTCTACGGACATTTTAGAATGGCTAATTTGCGATTCAGGTTAAGATACTCCCCTGGAAACTACCGTAGAAATCCAAATTGTTGCAAAAGAAAATTGCACGAAATTCGAGTAATTGTGATAATTACTTAAGTGAATTTGGACGAAATTTTAGTCAGTGTTGTGATTATGTTTCGCAAAGTTAAAGTTTTAAAAGCCTAATTTAAGATCCTATTAGTAGGTTACACTTATTAATAGTACAATTAACTAATAATATAATTAATTTGGGATATAATAATAATTTAATACTATCAATAATTGTATTCTATCGATTATAGACAATAAAAATTTCCCTTATTTAATATTACAGATATTAGTAAAACTATTTTAAAGTTACTATTGTAAAGTACTATTGTAAAGTTTAAAATTTTATGCAGATCATGATACGTAATCCCATATAATATTCAATATATCCAATATAATGCTTAAAGCTTAAGCTAATGATAATTATGTAAAATCAATTAACAAAAAGCAAGGCATTACACTTGTTTATCGCTAGAGCAATATTAGATAAACGTATAATGAGAATCAGAGAATATCTTCCTATTTAGTAACTCTGTCAGAAGTTTATACCTATGCATTTAACTACTCCTGCGTCTGTTTGGCAACAAAGCACTTACGACTAATATATAACACATGCATTAATTAATTAGTTAAACTGTTAGACTGCGTCTTCCCTCTATTCAAATTCATCGTCTATACTGTACTGTGACATTTAATAAATTGCTTTATCAAATTTATTTATGATCTATTAATGATAACTTTTTAATGGAAATGATATGAAAAGACAAATACATATTTTAACTCTGCTATATGGCCTTTTTACAGTTCATCAAATTATATATTAATCAACTAAAAAAAAAAAACAAATATAATTTTAGTAAAATTTTTGAAATTTTAGAAGGAAATTAGAAAATCAATTGTATATTAATAACCTTTCCTTTACAATTCGATCACCAAAACATAAAAATTCAATATAACATGTAATATCATAAGAGTTTATCGCGACGTATAAGAACATATAAGAACAAACATTGATCAATAAAACATACTCTGTGGTACAGATTAATTAAAAATTTTGCGTAGACAAGCTTGGCAAAAAATTGGCAGATACACAAAACCGCCAACAATATTCTCGAAGTAACACGCGTTCATTATACTATAACGTTGAAGAATAATATCACAATTTCAGTCTCGTAAAAATGTACGCTGGGACAGCAATTTCTTGAAATTGTCAACCGTGACTGAAGTTCACAGAAACTCCCATCGGGAACGTTTGAATAAGATAAGAGATGCATTGTGACTTACCAGCAAAAATTTCAATAATATAATGTTTGAATCATTTTAATCTCAAACTGCAAGCGTAACTATTCAGTAGTTACGCGTATATATAGTTATGTGTGTGAAGAAATATATGCATTTATGGAAAAATTTAGAGAAACATTTACAAAAAGATTTTACATTATAATTTGTTTTTGTCTGTCAATAATTTGGTTTTATCTGTCAATAATTTTTCTTTGTTCCGTATTACTTTGATACGTATTACTTTACAAAAATTACTTTATTAAAATACAGACAGATTGAAATAAAAAAACAAATTCTTATACAAAATCTTTCTTTTATTTTCTAATCTTAGTAATTACTATTATTAGCAATATTAATA